CCCTCCTGATAACATGTCCAAAGTACATGAGACAAAGTCTCACCATCCTCCCTTCTAAGGAGCATTCTGCCTGTACTTATTTCAAGACAGATTTGTTAGTTCTTCTGACAGTCTATGGTATATGCAATATTCTTCGCCAACATCATAATTCAAAGGCATCAATTATTCTTCGGTCTTCCTTATGCATTGTCCAGCTTTCGTATGCATGTGAGGCCATTAAAAATACCATGGCCTGGGTCAGGTGCATCTTAGTCCGCAAAGTGATATCTTTCTTTGCTTTTTAACACTTTAAAGAGGTCTTTTGCAGCACATTTGCCCAATGCAATATATCATTTGATTTCTTGACAGCTGCTTCCATAGGTGTTGATTGAGGATCCAAGTAAAATGAAATCCTTGACAATTTTCTCTGTTTATCATGATGTTGCTTATTGACCCAGTTATGAGGATTTTTGTTTTCTTTATGTTGAGGTGTATTCCGTACTGAAGACTGTAGTGTTTGACCTTCATCAGTAAGTGCTTCAAGTCCTCTTCACTTTCAGTCTTCCTCCAATCCTGATGCTGCATTTCTTCTTCATGTAGTCCAGATTCTCAGATTATTTGCTCAGCATACAGACTGAGTAAGTATGGTGAAAGGATACAACCTTGACACACACCTTCCTGACTTTCAACCATGCAGTATCCCCTTGTTCTGTTCAAATGACTGCCTCTTTGTTCCTCCTGAGCACAATTATGTGTTCTAGAATTCCCATTCTTCACAATGCTATCCATAATTTGTTATGATCCATACAGTTGAATGCCTTTGCATAGTCAGTAAAACACAGGTAAACATCTTCCTGGTGTTCTCTGCTTTCAGCCAAGATCCATCTGATGTCAGCAATGATATTCGTCATTCCACATCCTCTTCTGAATCTGGCTTGAATTTCTAGTTCTGTGTCAGTGTACTACTGCAACCGTTTTTGAATGATCTTTAGCAAAATTTTACTTGCGTGTGATATTAATGATATTATTCGATAATTTCCACATTCTGTTGGATCACTTTTCTTTGGAATGGTCACAAATACAGATCTCTTCTAGTCGATTGGCCAGGAAGCTGTCTTCCAAATTTCTTGGCATAAAAAAATGAGCACCTCCAGTACTACATTCATTTGTTGAAACATCTCAGTTGGTATTCTGTTGATTCCTGGCACCTTATTTTCCGCCAATGCTTTTAGTGCAGCTTGGACTTCTTCCTTCAATACCATCAGTTCTTGATCATATGCTACCTCTTGAAGTGATTGAACGTCAATCAATTCTTTTTGGTGCAGCCACTCTGTATTTCTTCTATCTTCTTTTGATGCTTCCTGCGTCTTTCAATATTTTGCCCATAGAATTCTTCGATATTGCAACTTAAGGCTTGAATTCTTTCTTCATTTATTTCAGCTTGAGAAATACTGAGTGTGTTCTTCCCTTTTGGTTTTCTAACTCCAGGTCTTTGTACATTTCATTATAATACTTTACTTTGTCTTCTTGAGCTGTCCTTTGAAATCTTCTGTTGAGCTCTTACTCATCATTTCTTCCATTAACCTTAGCTGCTCTAAGTTCAAGAGCAAGTTTCAGGCTCTCTTCTGACGTCCGTTTTGGTCTTTTCTTTCTTTCCTGTCTTTTTAATAACCTTTTACTTTCTTAATGTATGATGTCCTTGATGTCATCCCACACAACTCATCTGTCAGTTTGTCATACTGTGGTGGATCGTGTGTTACTGTGATGCTGGAATGTATGCCATCAGTATTTCAAATACCAGTAGGATCACCCATGGTGGACAGGTTTCAGCAGAGCTTCCAAAGTAAGACAGACTAGGAAGAAGGAACTGGCAGCCTATCTGTGAGAAAATTGGCCAGTGAAAACCTTATAAATAACAGGAGAATAGTGTCTGATATAATACTGGAAGATGAGCCCCTTGGGTTGGAAAGCACTCAAAATACTACTGGGGAAGAGTTGCCTCCTCAAAGTAGAGTTGACCTTAATAACGTAGATGGAGTAAAGCTTTCAGGAACTTTATTTGCTGATGTGTCATGACTCAAAATGAGAAGAAGCAGCTGCAAACATCCATTAATAATTGGAATGTGGAATGTACAAAGTATGAATCTAGGAAAATTGAAAGTTGTCAAAAATGAAATGGGACGCAAGTGATAGTCATTAGAATTAAATTTAGAGACTCAACTTTTAGATTATTTTATGAGCTGTTCACATAGATATTAGGAGTCTCTGGGTGGTGCAAATGGTTAACATGGTTGGCTGCTAACTAAAGCACATTAATCATTTCCATCACCTAGGAAAAGTTGGAGACTCGAGTCCACCCAAAGATGCCTCAGAAGAAAGGCCTGATGATCTACTTCTGAAAATCTGACATTGAAAACCCTATGGAACACAGTTCTACTCTGACCACATGGGGTTGCCATGAGTCAGAATCAACTCTACAGCAACTGCTATTATCCTAGTGCAATGTCTCAATAACTTACTATGATCTAAGTTCAATACAGAAGATGCTTTTATGTAGCACCCTTGGCTTTAAAATTCTTTCAAATTCCATCCTCATACCTTTATAGGATAAGTAGATAAGGCAATATTATCTCCAATTTATAGGTAAGAAAACTTAATCCCAGAGAATAGAAGGGGCCTCCTGACTCGTGATCAAGTTCGTGCTCTTAACAACAACTGGTCTGTTTGTTTTTTGTTTCGGGTTTTTGTTTTTGTTTTTTTTGTTTTTTGTTTTACATAGATTTTGAGGTTGCCCAGAATGATAGCAATTCTTAGGATGAAGTAGAAGACCGTTAGTCAATGAAATAGTCTTTACTGAATGTGTCATCAATGATTGTAATGTTTTCAAATTAAACTTAAAAAAAAAAAAAAAACTCCTGCATAATTGTCTTAGTTGAATGCTTGAAGCCAGTTATTCTTTTTTGAAACTCATTTAGGCCATAAATGGCATAAACAAAGAAAACTTACAGAATTGTAATAATATGAACCTCAAAGGAGTGTTACCAAAGACTAGAGAAACGGTGATTTGAACGCAGAAATTGGGAGAAAAAATAGAAAGAAGACAAAGGAGGAGGAGGGGGAAGAGGAGGATGAGGAGAAGGAGCTGCTGCCCCTCCCTAGTTCTGTGGTCCACGGAAAGGATGATATACATTCTCTCCAAAAGAGATTCAGTGGAATCAGAGTTCTCAAGTGAAAGTCAGATTTCTGTTAAGATAAAAAAGTAGAGAGATTTTAGTTAAGAGGAGAATATTTAAAAGAGTTCGTATTGACAACATATGTATATAAGAATACAGTGGAAATGTATGGCAAAAATGCAGCTGTGGGAGATGAGGGACAAGACAGGGATAAAAAAACACAGTGGGATTTACTGCAGTCACATTTTCATCCGGAACTCTTTACAAAAAGTATTTCTATGCTGACACAGACCAAAGTACTAACTAGTATTTGAAACTCTAGAATATTCACTGTCGTAGAATATTTTCTATTATATTGAAACCTTAAGGAGGATTAAAAGTTTTCCATTGTTCTAGCTTCCTTGCAGTTTTTTGTTTTTTGTTAGTTTGTTTGTTTGTTTGTTTGTTTGTTTTTTAATGGATGACGTAAAATCCCTGAGAAAATTTCCAAGCAGGACTATTTTGCACCTTCTATCACAAACTTTGTAATTGTGTTTTGCATACTTCAGAACCAACATTCTTTTACAATAATATTATTAATTAACCTCTTTCAACTATATTCTTAACAGCATTTCTCATCTAAATCTCTAAGGCAAATAAGCCTGTGATAAAACATAGTTCATCCACTTAGGAAAAAAAAATTGATACAAGAGGCTTTCGTTTATAGAGAAAGAGAAAGAAGTAAACTTTTTTTAAAAAATCCAATACACCTTTAACTGATAAAAGATTTAAGATATTCATAACCATTTACTAAAAACTAGGGAAGAATACATGTCCTAATAATCATGAAGATGGAATGAAACATCTAAAATTGCAGAGTTCCTTTCACTGGGACATCAGGCGGCGGGGATGCTGTAAGGAGGATTAGCATTAGGGGACATAGCTCAATCCATAAGGGATAGATGTGGATGAATTACTTGTATGAGACTCTATATCCAAAAACCCCAGTTCTTAAATAATTTAAATGATTAGTTGAGAATTAACCAAAGAGGCAAAAATATAGTCTTACAGCATGGGGGAACATATCTGAGAATTGAGGATCAACAATTTTCTAGGATAGATTTCTTATATAGGTATCAGGGGACTTATATTCTAATCTGGCTGTGACTGATTTATTCATACAACTTTTTCAGACTACTTACCACAACTGCCATGTTCTCTATCTGCAGAAACAGGCTCTAGAATTCACCTTGTGCTGAACTCACTGGGATGTTGTTGGGCAAGGGGTATATCTAGATGTAGAGATGTTTGAAAGATTGTCATGCTGTAAAAATTTAATATTCTGTCTTTAAGGTTAGTACATGAACGTGTATTTGGAAGTTACAAAGAGAGTTTTCCATTCAAGATAAGAACTTTTCGTTCTGTCAGTGCAGAAGAAAGATAGTGATTTACCAATCACTGAAGTCATCCAAGCAGTGGCTGGATAACCATATGGTGACGATACTAATCAGAAGGATTTGAAGCTTCATAATAGAGTTAGATGGTTTAATGACCTAATGACGTTTATTTTGTCTTTGAGAGATATTGTTATGAGCTAGAAATAGGAACAGAACTGTCCATACAATAAATTCAAAGTACAATGTTTGGAATTAATTTATGCACATAATAATTTAAGTTTGAGTCTCTTACCATGTCTGCATTTTACAAAATATGAACTGAGAATTTTACATCATCTTACACAATCAGTAAAATGTAAGTATACATTTGAACATAGATTTTATTTATTAATATTGTGTCACTTTGGTTAAATTTATTTCTCTGTGTACAGTCTCCAATCTGTTAATATTCTTAGTTGGGTCAGATGCCAATATGGAGGTACTCAAGTTAGGTATGCATTCTTTAAAAATTCTTCAGTTACAAATTAAACTTTTCTTAATTTAATGTTATTTATTCAAATAAGAAACAATTAGCTTGAAATTCCGTCTCTTTTAAGTCCATCTCTATCCACTCAGTGGAAACATTATTTTAGCAAGAATCTGTTAGGCATTATTATGCATATGATTTAATCTAATCTTCACAGAAACTTATTTTGAATGTTATAATTATCTCTATTTTTCAGATGAAGAAGGTATTACTCAAAGGTGAAGAATTTAATCCAACAAAACTGAGTTAGAAGTGGCAAAAACTGGGATTGGAACAAAAGCATTCTAGTTTTTTCATATTAATCTAATTAATACTTCAGTATTAAAAGGTGAAATATAATTTGTCTGTTGAAAGACCTCATAGAAATAATAATAAAACACACATACATATACCAGACAGCAGAATGTCTGACACAGAAAGGACATATGTGATTTCATATGTGATTATATTGGTATATGTATCCATAATTAGTCATTTCTGTGAATTAATTTAGAAAATGGTTTGGGAATGTGATTATTTGGAAACTAAAGAAGTTGGAATCTTTGAGGTGGGAAGTAACTTGCAAAGTAACTGGAAGTAGGATTGTAAACAATCGAATGGGACTTACAAATGTCTAGCCCAACATTCCCAATTTTCAGATAAGAAAATTGAATTCTAAAACATAAAACGAGATTTTTAAAAAAGAGATAAGCAGCTTCATCCATTTGCGGCATCAGCTATCCAGCCCTAGCTATAATCTAGAATTTTACCTCAGACCAAGAACCCATGAAAAGGATCTATAAGTGATTTTACATTATTAACTGGTCAGTAGAGTAAAATCTAATATTATAAGACCTTGTCTTTCTTGAGTTTTTATACCAAGATAAAAATAGTGAGAACAAGCATCCTATTAGAAAAGAAGAGATTCTAAGGAATTAATAAGACAAACGCACAAAGATTTATGTGCAAGAGTGTTCATTTGATTATTATCTATACAGCATAAAATGTAGATCACCCAAATTTCCAACACTAAACAATTGGCTAAATAAATAATATTCCATTCATAGAATCAAATTCTATCCAACCTTTAAAAATGACTGCATAGATGTCTAGTAATTGACATGAAATGTGATGATATATTGTTAAAAAAAAAAAAACAAAAAAAAAACTTGTTTACAAAATCATCTGTTAATATGATTATTTTGGGTACGTTTGCATGTAATCTGAACTTGGAAAACAAACTGAAAATATATCCACCAAAATGTCACTGTATCTCTAAGAGATATGATTACAGATGATTATTGTCTTTTTTTTTGCATTTGCATTTTCTAATTCTTTGCATTGATAATTTATTTCTTGTAGAAGGAAAAACTTCAAATAAAAAATAAAATATGAGGGCAAACTTCTTTATTTTAGTGGAAATGAGAAGGAAGGTGGGAAAAGAAAAATGAGGTAGCCATGATCAGTAGCAAAGAGTGGAGTAGCTGCTGGCTTATTTATTAAGGAGGAGCTAAGTGAAACAAATGAAAGCACCCAGGTCAGAATTGAATAATGGGTAATTTTAATCTGAAATGTGGGAGATCTGTACAAAAGAACCATTTCCCCGATACTGGAATAAAGAATAAATTGGATGGTCTTGAAGTACAGCTTTAAGAATTCAGCTTGTCACGTGGAGTGCCAAGTAAATTAGGTGGCTAAGCTGAATTATCTCTATTTGTATGTCTCTCCGATTTTATCACACTATATAAAGTAGCTTGTCTTCTCAAACGATCAGCCAGGTATATGATGTATATATTACATGCTCATAGAAGCTGTAGGAAGTAGACTTTAGACATAAAGGCACAACCTAAAGACAAGATAACCGTTATTCCTTTTTGAGGTGTCATTTTAATAGTATTAATAGTCATTAATAGCAACCATGAGATAGCTTGCCTTTCAGACATTCCCTAGACTATTTCCATAGATCTATATATATGTGGTTGGAGCCTTAGTGGTGCAGTGGTTAAGCGTTCAGCTGCTAACCAAAAGACTGGCAGTTCGAATCCACCAGCACTCCTTGGAAACCCTATGGGGCAGTTCTACTCTGCCCTACAGGGTTGCTACGAATAGGAATCACCTCGACAGCAAAGGGTTTGTTTTTCTGGTTTTTATATATGTGGTTAGGAGCTATGGCTGTTAACCAAAAGGTCGGCAGTTCGAATCCACCCTATGAGGCATTTCTACTCTGTCCTATAGAGTTGCTATGAGTAGGAATTGACTTGACAGCAACAGATCTGATTTTTTGGGGTTTTTTTGTTTTGTTTTGTCTTTTAATGCTAGAGTATGAAAGACTTTAAAAATTGGAAGACTTTGAGAATCACCAAATACGGGAAAGAATAAATCAACCTTTATGTCTTACTCATAGCAGGTCACTAATGTCAACCTCCTAAGTGAATGAAAATGTGTTATAGATAAGGCAAGCAAGTATTTAAAAGAATTTTCATCTAGCCTTTCTCCTAGGAGAGAAGACCATATCCTTTGCTGGCTGCATCCACAAACATATTTCTACTTTTTCCTGGGTACAGTGGAGTTCATCTTCTTGGCTGTCATGTTCTTTGACCACTATGTGGCCATCTGTAACCCCCTCTGCTACAACATCATCATGAACAGTAGAGTCTGCCTCATATTGGTTCTGGGCTGCTGGGTGGGAGCCTTCCTGTCTGTACTGGTACCAACTATTGTAGTGACAAGGCTACCTTACTGTAACAAAGAAATTAATCATTTTTTTCTGTGACATTGCCCCTCTTCTACAGGTGGCCTGTATAGATACTCACCTCACTGAGAAGATAAACTTTCTCCTATCTGCACTTGTCATCCTGAGCTCCCTGGCATTCACTACTGGGTCCTACATCTATATCATTTCTACCATCCTACGCATTCCCTCTACCCAAGACCGTCAAAAAGCTTTTTCTACCTGTGCTTCTCATATAACTGTTGTCTCCATTGCTTATGGGAGTAACACCTTTGTGTATGTGAGACCCAATCAGAACTATTCGTTGGATTTTGACAAGATAGCTGCTGTCCTCATTACATTGGTGACCTCTCTTCTGAATCCTTTTACTTACAGCTTGAGGAATGAAAAGGTAAAGAAAGTGTTGAGAGAGACAATGAACAGAATCATGTCCTTGATACTCAGGAGAACTTGATATCCAGTGTTTACACTGTAAAATATTTATTTTCGATGCATTTGTTCTGTGTGAATATAGTGACATACTAGTATACCAGAAACCTGAGATTGTTAATAGGATTAGCAATGATGACACCAAATTGAAAGAAATTTCTGCTTATGTCTGGGAGAAAAAAAAAAATCTAATCCATGAACTATATTACATATTCATAGCTTAAAACTACAAAAAGGCACCTAACTGGGATTTAGGGGAACCCAAATCTAGTCCTGGCTAAGTCATTTATATGTGGGATGACTCTGATCATGCCACAACTTCTCTGAGCCTCGATGTCTCCATCTCTAAATAAAATTATATATAATAAATTATCACTACTTGTAGTGAGACATGTAAAGTTAGATAACTTTAAACGTCTTACAATACTTCTTAGTTGTTGTTGTTCTTGTTGTTAGGTGCTGTCAAGTTGGTTCTGACTCATAGCAACCCATTGTACAACAGAATAAAACACTACCCGGTCCTGTGCCATCCTCATAATTGTTATGCTTGAACCCATTGTTGCAGCGATGGTGTCAATCCATCTGGTTGAAGGTCTTCCTCTTTTTCATTGACCCTCTACTTTACCAAGCATAGTGTCCTTTCCAGGGACTGATCCCTCCAGATAACATGTCTAAAGCACGTGAGACAAAGTCTCATCATCCTTTCCTCCAAGGAGCACTCTGGATGTACTTCTTCCAAAACAGATTTGTTCATTATTCTGGCAGTCCATGGTATATTTGATATTCTTTGCCAACACCATAATTCCAAGGTGTCAGTTCTTCGGTCTTCCTTATTCATTGTCCAGCTTTCGCATGCGTATGAGGCGATTGAAAACACCATGGCTTGGGTCAGGCGTACCTTAGTCTTCAAGGTGACATCTTTGCTTTTTAATACTTGAAAGAGGTCTTTTGCAGCAGATTTGCCCAATGCAATGTGTCGTTTGATTCTTCGACTGCTGCTTCCATGGGCATTAAACTTTTCAAGGGACTTGGCTTTTATCTGTGTTAGCCAGATTAAGTAAATATGACATGAGAAATGAGAGGAAAAGATAATATCAAGCTTCTGGCGATAGTCTGAGTGAAAGGTATGAAAAAATAAAATAAAAGGGGCAGGTTAGTGTCAGACCTATTGAATTAGACGATCCTATGATATAGCTAAAGGAGCCCTGGTAGCACAGTGGTTAAGTGCTCGGCTGCTAACCAAAACGTTGGCGATTTGAACTTACCAGCTGCACCATAGAATAAAGATGTGACAGTCTCCTTCCATAAAGATTACAGCCTTGGATATTCTATGGGGGCAATTCTACTCCGCCCTATAGGGTCGCTATAAATTGGAATCAACTTTATACAGTAGGTTTTTGTTTGTTTTTTGGTGAGATATCCATTAATAAGTGGGCAGTTGGGTAGTTATTTGAAGCTTAGGAAAGAGATATGAGCTGGTGATATAGTTTAGGGAATCTTCAAATACTCCCTAAAAATGGCCACATAGCAACTAATGTCACAAAACAGAATGTGTTTAAATTGTTGAATGGGAAACTAATTTGCGCTGTAAACTTTCACTCAAACCACAATAAGATGTTCAAATAAATACATAAAATGTACCACCTGCTGCCAGCACACAAATGGCTGATTCCCACAAAAAAGTCATATATAAGCAATAAATACTGATTATATGTAAGAAAATTTATTCTTAAGTAAAACAATGTGATTTACCTATAGTATTTTATTGTTGTTGTTTTATGAATTCCTTTAGTAACAAGCATAAAGTTAAAGATACTCATTTGTATGTTTTTAAACAAAAAATATCCAAAATCTGAATTTGTCAATCAAATATATGATCAAGATTTTCTTTCTTAGTACAGTAATTCTCAAAATCTGATTCCCAGAACAGCAGCACTAGCATCAAGTAGGAACATGTTAGTAATGAAAATTCTCAGCCACCATCTCAGATCTACTGTATCTGAAACAATGAAGGTGAAGCCTAGCAATCTGTGTCTTAACAAGCCTTCCAGATGATTCTGATACAAGCAAATTTTGAGAACATTAGACTTAGGGAGAGCCAGTCAGACCACCAGTTAGAGATACCTCTATCATAGTTTGGGCTCAATCAGAGCGTTGATTAAATATTGTCAGGAAACTTGTTTTACAATGTATTTGATACCTGATTTAAAAAAAAAAAATCACATACCACACAGTATTATTAAGATTATCATTATTCTAATCACGGGCCCTTAATTACATCTGTTATTTTATTGTTATCCATTCAGTTAGTGAGAAAAACTGAGTTCATTACTCTCTATAGAGAAGTACTTTGCTAGAGTATTAGAAATAGCTACTGAAGTACCTTGCTTTTTATGAGTCTTGGGCAGGCACCTGGCAATGAAACAAGGCAGATTGCCAGTTTCCAACAGTTGTATTGAAGGCCAAATTTGTTGGTCCTTTCCTCAGTCACCTAAATCTTTTGTGAACCTTCTCTCTGGCTTTTTCTGGCTCTGTGTGGTTGTTATCACTGAGTATCTGATGATCATTTTTTCCTCAATCAGAACTCATTATTCAGTCAGGTATTTATTCATGAGATGTGTTGAGTACACTTATTTAGTCAGTATAGCACAGTCTTCAAATTTATATCTTGATTCTAACCATAATTAATATCTTGATTCACTACCATAATAATCTCTTCTTACCTCAGTTTTTTCATCTATAAAACAATATAAAACCAAGGTGATAATAATTTCTGTGCTGTAGGGTTCTATGTTTAAGATAAACTTGAAAGCATTTATATCAGTGTATGATATAGAAGCACTGAATGAATGTTAGCTATCTTTTTTCGGATTCTGAGTCAAATTCTAAAGCAAATGTTGATGACACAAAGATGAGCAAGACATTATATCTACCTCTAATACATATTTTAATTTGAAAAAAGGATATACAAGAAAATATTATGAATGACACAGCCTAAAATTAAAGGAATTAAGGCTTCTGAATTTGATCATGATAGAGTAACAGAGATTTTATTTAACCTTTTGACTTAACCAGAAAATGACAAAAATACATAAAGCAACAATTTTCAGACACTGAACAACAGACAGCCCAGTGTCTTGTCTGACACTATCGAAGTCAGAAAACAATTGAATGGCATCTTTAATCTATTTAAAGAAAAACTGTCAACCTGGAATTGTTTACACAGTAAAAACGTATTTCAAAAATGAAGGTGAAATTAAAACAAATTTCCACACAAAGATTGGTTATCTGAATGTTCAAAGTAGTCTTATTCTTAATAGTCCTAACTGCAAACAACCCAAATCATCAATAACTGGTTAATGAATAAACAAGTAGTGTTATAAAATTCTATGGACTACTTTCAGCAATTAAAAAAAAAAAAAAAACCTGCTGCTAAGGGTCAAAACATGGATAAATCTAACGTGTGAAAGAAAAGAATCCAAATCCAGACACAAAGAACAACTTTTTGTATTATTTCACTTATATGATATTATAGATAAGGTGAAAGACAGCCTATCAATAATTGCCGGGAACCAGAGGTAAGCAGAAAAGATTGTGTACAAAGGGGCATTAGAGGACATTTTGGATCAATGGAAATGTTTTCTATCTTTATTTTAGTTGTGATTAAATAGCTGTATTTATTTGTCGAAACTCATTGAATTGTATTCTTAAAATAGTTGAATACTATTTTATGTAAACTGTACGTTAATAATGCTGACTTGAAAGATAAAGAAATTTACAAAGCTTCATAGAAATTTACAAAGCAGTGATAAATTCTGCCATTGCTGTTTGAAGGTAGAGCAGAGGATGAAGTGTTTAAGCGAATCCTGAATAATAAGGTAGACCATCACTAGACAAACAAGGTGAGATGAAGGTAAGTCATTTTGGGCAGTTAGAAACTACATATTCAAAAATATAAACATAAATAGATTGAAATACATCAAGTCAATGAAAATCTATGAGACATAATGATAGTGAAAAACAAATAAAAATCTCATTGTTATCTTTGGAAGTTGCTAGGATCCCAACTCATTATTCTGGAAATTGATAAGTACAAAGAAAAGAATTAAGCATTTATCCAACTTTTCCCATATGGACAATATTTTGAAGTTACAAATAGATAGTGCAAGGTAGGTAGTTAATTTTTATTGAAGAATCACAACTAATAAATACAGGAAGAATGATGAAACTTAAAATTTTACTTTTTTAAAATCCTAATGAAGTAATAGAGCCCTGCTGTCACAGTGGTTAAGATCTTATCTGCTAACCAAAAGGTCAGCAGTTCCAATCCACCAGCCACTCCTTGGAAACCCAAGGGGACAGTTCTACTCTATCCTATAACGTCTCTAGGAGTCGGAATTGACTTGACAGCAACTGGTTTGATTTTTTGGTTTTTAGTGAAATAATTGATCTGGACAAGGCTCATCAATGACTGCTAAAAAGCACTAAGTGAAAATATTGATGGAGAAAATTTACTATATAAATGTGGATCACAGTCACAGCACTTCAACTTTGTGAACAATCTTGACCCACTAAAATCACAACATAATGTGATTAAATAGGAGGTAGTCACAGAACTGGAGCCCTGGTGGTGCAGTGGTTAAGAGCTAGGGCATGCTATGGCTGCTAACCAAAAAAAGTCAGCAATTCAAATCTACCAGCCACTCCTTGGAAACCCTATGTGGCAGTTTTACTCTGTCCTATAGGGCCACCATGTGTTAGAATTGACTCGACAGCAATAGGTTTGGTTTTTGGTTTTTGGAATCATAGAACTTGTAAGAAGTGTTCTTGATGAATAAAAAGGAATTTAACTCTAATCAAGTGTGTATGCTAGAGAAATGTGTTCAAGGACACCTCAGGGATGCAGTCAGCAACACCAAGACTGTAGGAAATTCCCAGGACAAATGATTGCATTTTTTCAACAAATAAGTAGGTTTTTAAAAGGAGATTAAAAGAGACTTTTCAATAAAAGATATATTAACCAAA